AGGTTCGCCAACTTACATATCTATGTATGTAGCCATTGCTAGGTTGGTTTACTTTAGTTATTTCCACAGCATAATATCCTATGAGATACGAGTATTATAGTGATGGCATGCAGGTGATGTCTATTTTTATTTTGCAGAAAAACAGCAGTGCGCGCTATTTAGAATTTTCGCACCCGTGATCCATTATATATATTTTTTTATATATAATTTTCGTCGAGAAGAAAAGCAGTGCATTTTCCAATCCTATTCCATTTTAATTATGTGTCTAGAAAGTGGTAGCGTTATTTTCTAAAATTTAGGTGCGTTATTACTTATTCCTTTTTTTTAGAAATAAGTAAATTAAATCAATTAATATGTTGATTAAGTTAATATTTTTAGATATTATATTAGTATAAAAATGAATTAATAGCTATACTTTAATGAAAAATGCTTAAAATAACACGTTGAACTTTTTAGTACCTACCTACTAAAATTTGATGGTGATGGAGTGTATCGCGATCGAATTGGAAACTTTAAAAATTTATAATGGTGAATCGTATCTCGATTTCTACAATAGAATAAATATATAAAGAGTACGTTAATTGCGAAAGTTAATAGAATAGTGTATATAAACCTTCGCAAGAGTAAAATCACTATATATAACCACATGTCTATGAATGTTTCCTTATACTTATAGTTTACCAAAGAAGTTATTGTGCAATGTACCTTACTGTACTGTGACTTTCAGAAAGGACTTTGAGCATAGTACTTGAGAAGTAAATTTCTTATAGGTACCAATATTAAGCGAGGAATAAAAAGTTACGATTACCTGTTCGGTAAACGCACAAAAAATGTCGGCTAATGTCTCAAAATCCCTTTATTGACAAATTTTCAATGAAACCGTATTCTCACAAAACACAAATACCACAACAATGTTTTAAAATTAACACAGCTCAAAGTATACCAAACATAGACATATAAACATAGGGACCTCACATCCAACAGCCTCAACAAGTTCAACCGTAACACAATATGCAATTTCAACCAAGATTTAAATTTGGAATACCAGTAAGCAAAATAAATTACCAACACAGCAATTCCAACAATTTGGAATAGGACCACAATCCCCCCAACAACCCATAGGATATTGGACAGTTTGGTATTGAGCAAACTTTAACCAAGGTCAACAACCCACTGGTTATAGAACACCACCTCATTTACAGCGACCACAATTTTAATCGACTAATGTAAGCATGCGTACAGCCTCACCCGTGAAACTTCAAGGTTTTCGTATGGACTGAGTTACGAGTAAACGCGCTTAACGAAATCGATGACGGTACTTATGACGACACAATTTACTATGATATGGACCTCACGCAAACAGAAGACGAAAGTAATTATTGCGAGAACCCTGAAATAACTGACTATAATGAACAAGAATTAACATACGAAATCGAAAATTTTCACATAGAAGCCTTGAATCAAATCCATGAATAATACATATAAATTGTAACCCTTACTTATAATACCATATTTAGAAATACCTCATACTAATGCAAAGTTTATGGTTGATACCGTGAGTTTTATATATTTTATAAACCCTACTAAAATAAGCGAATATTATGCGAACTTTAAAGGTAGAGACAGACTGGTCCCGCGTACGCAACATATACAACGCATTATGACATCTTGACTCTTGGTTTTATACAAAAAATGTGCATTAGAAACACACATCGTATGCAACGCAATCACACGCGTCCGACGAAACGTCGACCTGCGATGTCCTGATCGGCGTGAGACGATGGAGGGGATGTTCGTTCGCAATCCCACCCGCAGACTCTGAGAACGCTATTGTTGTTACGACAACATATTCAGATAAAACCCTATCAATAAGATACGATTATTCCATACCGATTGATTCTAGCAGCACATGTTAAACCCCCTAGTATAGAAACCGCACATTCACAACAAGACACTGAATCGCAGGGAATTCCAATCTTACAGGAAGTGATCGATACTACATCTAACCAAATTTTGGTCGTCAGCTGGAACATAGACAAATTATCAATAAAACACTTATCTAGAGAAACACAAAAATTTTTAGGAGTAAGTATCTATTATCTTTAGACCGACCCGATTTAGGAAACCATTTAAAAAAAGAAAACACTAAGAATAAAACTAAATTCTTAATTTACTTCGAACACGAAGATCGTCATAAACAATTCGCAGAGTTAGTAATTTTTTTTATTTAAAAAGGAACTTGTACAATTTTTCAAATACACTAGAGTCGTATAAGTATATTGCGGTATATGTTGATAACGAGATAGAACAAATAGACATAGTTAACAAATATCACGCTGGAAAGATTTGCCATAGTGGTATTAAATAACCCCTATGCCATACAAATCATAGCCAGTGTCACATACATTCACGTGACACATTATACGTGGTAGAGCCATGCTGCAGCTATATTAGTAGTATAATTGTAGCACGAATGGGTCGGCTCGACCGGGGAAGGACCACGCTCTCACAGAAAACCAGCGTAAAATAGTAACTTAACGCTGCTGTGTTTCGTATGGTGAGTGTAGAGAACCGGAGACCCTTTTTACTGGCAAAGAGGCATTCCATCTTAGTCCTCACGGGTGACAACGCATCTGCATCTTAAGTCTTTATTGAGGATAGATGTAGATGTCTATGGGTCACAGTAACCACTTACCATCAGGTGGACTGTGTGTTCGTGTGTCACACTATCCTATATAAAAAAAAACATATAAAAGCGAGAAATATGATCGAAACCCCATGACACCTAAACTCTAACTAAAGCCAATAAATCTCATGAATTTTTTTTTTCATATATCTCTTTATTTACTCACTATTAATTAACAATAATTGATGCAAATTAGGACAGGCCTTCTAAATAGTTAATAGATCGACTTCCTAAGTCGCCAGAGCTCTTCTTAAATATTTTAATTTCTAAGGTGCCCCACGAAATAAGTTCAGATTCTGGTTCGGGGTTTAACAAGAATTACTTTCCTTTTATAAAACAGTACACATAACTAACTATATGGGATTTATTGAAAGGTTCCACTTAACCATCCTGTAACTATATAGATTAGCAAAGTATGAGCAATAATGGCATACTGTCACAACATACACTACCACAATTAGTTAAAAACATGCAAAGCGTACTTAATATATCTATAAACACATAACAGAACACACCATACAAAAGAAAGAAAAGATTATTGAAAAGAGAGGTGGAGAAACGGAATTTAAATCAGAACCCGAAGACACTATTTATGCAAAAGGTACTAATAAAAGGAATAGTAAAGATAATCCACGTTAAACACCTTTAGTTGAAATGTTATTCCAGGAAGCATTAGAGAACGTGATAGTAAAGTCCCTTTAAATAATGTACAACGCCAAGACAGGCACCTAGCGCTCGCCCTGGTAGTAGCCACGGTGACACACCTCCGGACCCTTCAACTTCTGGAATTAAATAGCAATACTAGAATACTGTCCGTGAAGTAAGGAACCGCCGTCATCAGTAACAATAAATGAGTTATCGCCAAAATAATAGACCTCAAACCATTCATAGAGGATATAAAAGTTAAAGCACTGAGGTATTTCCATTTAAACAAGTCAGTTAATATTTTAAATAAAAATTCATATAATTTTGTAGACGTTAAAACGCAAGTAGAATATATTAAGAATTTAACTGTTAATAAGCTTTAACAAATAACCTCTTCTTTAAGTGCAGGACGCGGTATACTGAACCCACTAGGTTCATTAAAATTAAGTTAATCACAGGAAATCTCGATAATGATGATGCTGTTAGATACGATAAATTAATTACAGAGGTAAAATTTAAACAGAACAGTTATGGCAATAGGATGACGATGATCTCAGAAATAATGCAAGCTATGACCAACTCTACATTAAAATGAAATGACAATCTAATCCAAATTATTAAGAATATTATAACACTATCACATAATTTAAGCAATTTAGTCAAAATATCAGATTAACACAGAATATAAGTACGATTATAGGGTACGTTGGCCTAATACCGGACGGATTTTCGGATAGTTGAAAGAGTCTGACAAAAACTTTAATTTCTCGACATCCGTATACGTCAGATTTCTGGAACATGGAGCAATAGTTAATCGTTAAACGTAGTTTAGCTCTGAAATCTTTTGCTTGAGTAAACTCAACGGTTTCTGCTTTAAAAGTGTGAGAAAACAAGACATACTTTTTTATATGCATGATGAATAAATCGGTATCAAGGGGTAAGACTGGACTTAAAATCACTTCTACTGCTTAGAGAACAAAGTTTATAAAAGGGATTTGTCCTATCTTTAATACTCAAAAACGTATTTCAATATGATCTATAAAAAACTAGAAACATAAATGTTCCAAACGATTATCTCTTTGTTTCTTGGCATCCGGTCTTATCCCTGATATAAAGAAATTGTAATTTTATGGTTCTCAAACTTTGTTATGACATAAGACGGAATTATTCAATATAAGGGAAAGATCGGATGCATTTGATTTTTATATGGGAAAGAAAAATTTAAGAGAAAGAACTGGCGAAATGTCCTGGGACAATACAGGAGTAGAAGAAGATGTAAATATTTTAGCAAAGCGGCGTATGGTGAAGCAACTTGTAGTTAGGAAAGTAGTTAATTGATAGATTATTTTGTGTGCAGATTTGTGTGTGTGTGTGTGTGTCAATAAACAGGGTGAGCCTATTTATAGAGTTAATTAGAATCAGAATATGACCATGAAGTCGGAAAAGTAATGCAAAGTTGACTAGACCAGGAAAAGGAACTTGGGGTGAAAGTTATCCATGAAACTAAATTAGTTCTAAACTTTATCTAAAGAGGTAAGTATGTAATGAGATGAGATAAACGTTATCTGATGACATAAATGTGTGAAGGAATAATTTTTGTAAGGATCCCTGTTTTGATTTAGGATAAAACGATAGACAACAATCAAAACCAAGAAAATAATGAGCGTTTGAGAATATAATAATTCTTTTTTCTTTATTATTCGTAACTTTTTAGCGTAGTTCACTAAATAAGCAATAGTAATCAACTTAACTACAAAGCCACTTTATAAAAATTATTAAAGCTACCACTTTATCATCAACATGACTGATATGTCCATCGTACAACAACACTACAGGTTTTTCTTCAACCAAATTGGGAATAACTACGTTTAGCATGCAGTTATAAAAATTGTTGGTTTCCATCCAGCCCGTGGACTAACAGCGTAGGTAAGTTTGAAATCATATTTGTCTAATTCTTCACCATTCACTGTTTATACATGTTTTCCTTTAAATATGATCAATGGGTCCATAACTTTTGCCCGAGCCGCATTCACAGTAGTCAAGACTGTGATATTTTATTTTTCCATTTCCATACGTCGTTCGTGTAGAAGGCTTCCCTTTGGTACCTACAACCTACAACTTTTGTTTTCGTTGGGTCGACACAAACAGACGTTTCATAAGTTCCATATTATTAGGACCAGTAAGATACAAGTCACGAAAAGTCTTTTGTGAAAGAGCAAAATATTCGTGGATTACAAATGGATCGGTCATTTGTCTTCTAAGGTACTCGACTGCTTGCGGTTTTTCTGCCGACTTCCAAAAAGGAGACGGTACTCAATTCGACTGTATGTTTTTTTTATGTGTGTTACCTCATAACTTTGTACTGGGTGAACCGATTTCGATGATTTTTTTTTATTTGAAAGCTGGTACATCTCGGGTGGTCCCATATAAAATTGATTCAAGGTCAGACCAATAGTTTTTGAGTTATTCTTAATAACTTATATTGAAGTCGGCTGTACAAAATTATTCATTTAAAATTATTACACATTTTCTTGAATCATAGCTAAGAACACTCGATAAAATCACCTTTCAACCAAAAAGAAAAATCAAAATCGGTCTATCAGTTTCAAATCACTCACGTCAGCAGTAACCAACCACTCATCATAGTGGCTGGGTGACAGGGCACTCGCTGACCTTTTTTTATAAAATAAAAAACGAACATTATTCTTATTTACATTTACTACTTATAATAATCTAAATACAAATTGCTCCTAATGTTACTTATTTCTTCTTTTTCTTTTCAGTACGAGTGCCGCCCATTTCTTCTAGTTGCTGCTTGAGTTCTAGTAGTTGATTATCAGGCACATAACGTATTTCCTCATGTTCTACAGTATGTTCGTGCACGTTCAATGTACAGCCTTCAGGCAACGTCGCTCTTGTTACTCGCAATAATGTACCCAGCGCCCACGCAGGTACATCCACAACCTTGAAAACAAATAAGATTTTAGAGATTTTTATTCTTACGTAGACAACTGTAATTTTTTTATAGGAGAGGGGGCAAACGAGCATCACCTGATGGTAAGTGACTACCGCCGCCCATGAACAACTGGGCTGGGATTAATTCGAACAATTCCTTAGAGCACTCCCCGTGGTAAATGCGAAAGAAAATGCAAAGGGATGCAACATCTCTTCGCAGCGCCAGTGAATCGAGCCGATCGGAAAGGACTTGGTCGTCGACGATTCGAGCCGCATTAAATTATACTTTCTAAATATTTGGGTCACATGTAATGATGGTTTCATAAGGTTTCATAAGATGGTTTAATATTAATAATAAGTGATTAAAAAACGAAAAATGTTCTTTAAAAAAAACGTGTGATTTCCTGCCTTTTAGTGAGCAAATGGATTTCCTGCTGTCCGTTTTCCGTTAGACATTATCGAATTGATTACGTTCTTCGGATGCCCCGACTCCCGACTCCCTTCCGTTAGTTAGCAGGGAGCATCGCTAATTTGTTGAGTGCATGTGGAGTAGGAAATTTTCCATTTCAGTCACCATTACACCTGCGTTCTTTTGTAATAAAATGCGTTGGACTATTACTTCTATGCTTTGCTATTATTTATTTATATGAAAGGGATGAGAACTTAAAAATATCCTTCCATAAGCTTTTCAATGTATGTAAGTAATAACCTTTTATGTGTGAATTTAGAAAGAACAAAACTTTTAGAACCAGGCAATAGTAGGTACTCACCTGAACATTTCGTTCGTAGACATTAAGGTTATACTCAGCATCAATAACCGTGCTTTTAGGTTTGAACCGTTGGACTTTTAATTGCTGTGCTGGTGTAGCCCAACTGAAAGTAAATTATTTAGTAAAATATCTTTCTTTAACTACTTCCTAATATCGATCAGGCATTCTATGCTTAGAACTCTTGTTCCAAGTGCTTGGAAATTGAACAAAATAATTAGCACAACTACTTGGTCGCGACAAATTACATTCTGTACATGGTCATGGGGCAAGGGGCAATACAGAGAGAGAATAAACGTGAGGTTCCACAAGGTGCTGTGCAGAACTGTGGCAGAATCACGCTGCAGCTTCTGCTGTAGCATGGATGGGCCCGCTCAAACCAGGGCAGTACCACGACCTCGCAGAATACCAACGTAAAGTAGAAGCTTTGCTTCTACGTTTCGCTTGGTTAGTGCAAGTGGCCCATAACATGCTAGCGGAATTTAAAAAGAAAGGACTACCCCAGCACCCCTAGTAATGGAGAAGCCCTCACTGAGCATGCTCGATTAAGCTAGCCCTCTTCTTCCTGAGCGTGGGTGCTCAGGCTGCCCCGCGTATTCTGGAGGGGACAAAATCCCGCTCTATACTAACACCACATGAGGCAAACAGCGATAAAAACAATGGCGACCCCTGCCACGCTATCCGTGGACTTCTGCAACATCAGGGGACTTCACTCAAACCTTAACGCCGTGCACTACCATCTCGAGACGGCAAACCCGGCCATGCTCTTTTTGACCGAGACGCAGGTGTCCTCTCCGGCTGATACTTCGTACCTGTGCTACCCGGGGTACAAATTAGAACACTTCTTTGTGCCCTGAGCTGGAGTTTGCGTATACGTCAGAGAGGATATCTGTTCTCGACGCCTCCGCAGTCTTGAAGGTATGGACCTGTCTATCCTTTGGCTGCGCATAGACAGCGACGACCAACCCCGCTTCTACGGGTGCTTGTATAGGTCCCATAGCGGTAATGCCGACACAGACCGACTCATCGACCATGTCCAAATGGCTACAGATTTCTTGCTACAACAGATCACATCCGGAGAGATCGTGATACTTGGCGATTTTAACGCCCACCACGCCGAATGGCTCGGTTCACGTTTAACCGATCATGCAGGGAGATCTGTTTATGACTTTGCCTTGGCATATGGTCTGACACAACTGGTTACTTCGCCTACGTGGATTTCAGATGTCGAGGATCATACATCTTCCCTGTTGGATCTTCTGCTGACTTCTCATCCGGACGGATATCAGGTTTCCTCTCGGCTCTTCAGATCCGGAGTGTGGTGCCACTCGCGCTCCACTCGCGGTTGCGTTCTGCAGGCTGCCGCCGTGTTTGGCATTACAGGTCGGCGGATTGGGACGAAATGCGGTCTTTTTTTGCATCCTACTCATAGGGGCGGGTTTGCTTTTTGCCGGATGATCCCAGTGCTGTTGCTGACTCTGTCACTGATGTGGTGCTACAGGGAATGGAACTATTTATTTCATCATCTGTGGTACCCATCGGAGGTAGATCTCAGCCCTGGTTTGATCGCTCCTGTAAGACTGCATTACGCATTAAGCAGGAGTGTTATCAGACCTGGGCTGAGGCTTCGGCGGCTCGGGATGCATGCATGCAGAGCATGCTTAAAAAGAAGTATAACTTCGCCTCCACGTCCTTCAAAAGAGTAATTGTCAAGGCAAAGTATGAGCACATTAGCAGAATTGGCGAGAAATTAGTTCGTCTTCCTTCGGGAACCCCTACATTCTGATCTCTTGCCAAGACTCTTCAAGGGAATTTCTGTAAGCTATCACTACTATCTCTGCAAAGGGAGAATGACTCACTGGCCTACGCCGCAAAAGAGAAAGCAGACCTTTAGGCTCCCTTTTTGCGTCTCTCGATGACGATGACTCTCGATGACGGGAGGAACACACCGCCGACCATTACGCTGTGTGAGTGCTCTATGCCTATGTGCAATTCACACAGTGTTCAGTACGAAAAGCACTCCTCTCCCTAGGCATACACAAGTCGACTGGGGCTGACGCAATCACGCCAATTGTGCTGAGGACGTGGGCTCCCGTGGCACCGCTTCTAACGCGTCTTCTCCGATACTCGTACGCCCTAGGCGTAGTCCCGAAATCATGGAAGATAGCTTTCGTGCACCAGATCCTTAAAAAAGGTAACCGCTCTGATCCGTCCAACTACAGGCCAATCGCCATCACCTCCTTGATCTCAAAAATAATGGAGTCCATTATTAACTGCCATGCTCATGCGCTATCTTGAGGAGCACCAGCTAATTAGTGACCGCCAGTACGGTTTCCGTCGGGGTCACTCAGCTGGTGATCTTCTTGGTTACCTAACACAGATGGGCGCAGGCGATCGAGTCCAAGGGGTTTTCTGGCGATAGACGGTGCATCTCCGATTACAAGACTATTAACGCTGGTGTTCCACAAGGCTGCGTGCTATCACCAACGCTGTTTCTCCTGCATATCAATGATATGTTACAAACTGGTAACATTCATTGCTATGCAGACGACAGCACTGGTGATGCCTTATATACCGGCCGTGCCAATATTTCTCGGGAAAACGTCGCCGAGTACCGGGACAAACTTGTGTCTGAAGTCGAGTCTTTGCTGAACAAAGTCTCGGATTGGGGGCGACTAAATCTAGTCCAGTTCAATCCCCAGAAGACACAAGTATGCGCCTTTACCGCTAAAAAGAACCCCTTTGTCGTATCTCCTCAGTTTCAAGGCCTCCCCTAACTCCCCTTGCTGCCTCCCCTAACTCCCCTTGTTGCCTCAGCTAGTATTGGAATCCTCGGCGTCGACATATCGAATAGTGTGCAGTTTCGTAGTCACTTGGAAGGGAAGGCCAAATTGGCGTCTAAAAAGCTTGGCGTGTTCAGCAGAGCGAGACAGTATTTCATGCCGACACATCGCTTGCAACTTACAAAGCGCAAGTTCGGCCTCACATGGAATACTGTTCTCATCTCTGGGCCGGGGCACACCAGTGCCAGCTCCTTCCACTTGACCGCACCCAGCGCAGAGCGGCTCGAATCGTCGACGACAGAGTCCTTTCCGATCGGCTCGATTCTCTGGCGTATTTTATCGCATCTACCACGGGGAGTACTCTGAGGAATTCTTCGGACTAATTACAGCCGCTCCATTTCACCATCGCACATCGCGACAAAGCACCAACTACCAACTGGATGATTGGCGGTCCACCACGGTGCGATTTAAAAGATGTTTTTTTCTCGCACAACTTCCTTGCGGAATCGATTACCACAAGCGATTTTTCCGCATCGATATGACTTAGGGACCTTCAAGAAAAGAGCCTACTCGTTTTTAAAGGCCGGCAACGCGTCTGCAATTCCCCTGGTGTTGTAGTTGTTCATGGGCGGCGGTAGTGACCTAGGATCAGGTGAGCCACATGCTCGTTTGCCCCATCTCCTATAAAAAAAAAGAACTTCGAGCTGGTCTAGATATTGTATGCTCAACTGACGATACGCTAGTGGTAGCCGGCGAAGTCATCTTCATGAACGCCAAGGAGCTCGTAGAGCTTGAAAAATAACGCTTCACAAGACCGAGGCACTATGGCTCCACAAATAACAATGGGGCAGAGATCCACCTGACTTGAGCGAATATACCGCACAATATTCCTTGGTTAAGCAAAAAAACCAGATGAGGAGCTCCAGCCAATGAAACGACAGGAGCAACTGAACGTTTTGGTGACATGGCGCACGCAACTCCACGAGTCATAGCGACAGATATGCCGGTCTTCAAGTCCTGGATACAGCAACGAGTAGGAAGACTCACCTACTGACTTACGCAGATAATTACCGGGCATGGGTGCCTCAGTTCTTATCTGTGTACTGTAAGTAATGTAAGATGTAAAGGTAAGAATCAGCTATTCAGGGCCTGTTGAACCACTAAGCTGGCGTAAAGTATGCAGCTCGAATGATTTCTAACCTTCCTTGCTGTGATTGCTCCAGCCTGGTAAACAGTAGTATTGTGGATTCCTGATGATGTCTTTATATGTATAAATAAAGGTTGTAAAAATTTCTAGAACCAATATCTGACTTAGTTTTTCTCAACTACTTTAAAAATACTAGACTCCTATCACAGTGTCTACATATGACAGTGTCTACATATCTCTAGAGGCGAAACACGTGTCACATTGTCGTCGGTGGTGTGTCTTTCCTAGTGTAGAGGTATTGGGTAGTGGTGTTGGGATTAGTGATGACGGTGATAGTGCACACAATTGATCATTTTGAATTTTCACATGCGCCGCAATGGGCTGATGGTACTGGTTCCTGTTGAATGAACAAGTCCAGAGGAGTAAGGATGCATCATGGCTTCAGGGGCCAAAATGTGTGGTTTTCATGCATTTCATAGTGGCCATATTGGCCAGTCTTTAGCATTGTTGCAATTTCTTGCCAATAGTAAACATCTTAACTTTTGGACACTATACCAGAGTACCTTAGGCAATCACAATGTGAGCTGTAGCATTGTTGAGAAGTATGCAAAGCTTGTTTGTAAACACTTTTTGTTTTAGGTTTCTTTCACATTCTTTCTCTAGCTTTCAAAATCTGATGATTTGGCTTCCATGTAGGCACTTTTCCACAAGTTTTTTAATAAATTATTCACCAGTAGTTATAACACCAACCAGCAGTTATACTGGTGAATCATTTATTAAACTTAGTGAACTTTTATCATCTGTTGAGCTTACTTGGTAGGTTTATAACTGATATTATTCACTAATTTAGAATTAATTTTCTCATTTAAAATTTTCTAATATACTAGGATGATATTAGTGGTTTATTTTTGTACAGCAAAAAAAATTTGCTTTTTTAATTATTTTCATCATGGGTGTCATTTTCATGGTTTTCGAGGGTTTAACACCCTATCGAGAAAAATGACACCCATGATGAAAAAATTGATATCTATTGCAGCCGCCATCTTGGATTTACATTTCGACAACCCTATCGGCTTCAACTCTCTCGAAAACCATGAAAATGACACCCATGATGAAAACATTGGTACCTACTTCAGCCGCCATCTTGGATTTACATTTCGACAGCACTATCGGCTTAAACACCCGTGAAAACCATGAGAATAACACCCATGATGAAAAAATTGATATCTATTAAAGCCGCCATCTTGGATTTACATTTCGAAAACCCCATCGGCTTCAACTCCCTCGAAAACCATGAAAATGACACCCATGATGAAAAAATTGATACCTATTGCAGCCGCCATCTTGGACTTACATTTCGATAGCACTATCAGCTTCAACACCCTCGAAAACCATGAAAATGACACCAATGATGAAAACATTGATACCTACTTCAGCCGCCATCTTGGATTTACATTTCGACAGCACTATCGGCTTCAACGCCCTCGAAACCCATGAAAATGACACCCTTGATGTAAAAATTGATACCTATTGCAGCCGCCACCTTGAATTTACATTTCGACAGCACTATCGGCTTCAATAGATAGGCTTTTAATAGATATCACATTTGTGCAACATCACCATCTATTGATGAAATTGGTTAACTATTGTACTATAGATTTAGATTAAGGTTAATTTATTTTTGTATATATTTATTACGTTCTTTTGTTTACTGCGTTTTAGGTATAATTATATCATTATAGAACATTATTTTACATCATTTGATTATGATATATACTTCAGAATATTTATTATAACTTTTGATGGAATGAACTAATTTTAATGAAATATAGACTAAATGTAACCTGAAGATACACTTTATAATTTCTTTGACAATTCTTGTGATATAAATTGGTACTTTATACGTGATACGTTAACAAACAGACAGACAGAGAAAGAAAATTTTAAAAATGGTAGAAATGTATTTAATTACTTATTTTTAGTACCTCTCAATCACTTTTATTATATAAATCTAAAATATACAGACATCTGCTATTTACATTTTTATTATATGTATAGATAGCAATTAATCGATTTAAAAAAATCTTAATAAGTTCAACAATCATTTATCTTTCTATCAATGTGCTTTTTATATCATTTATATGTATAATATGATTGCTAGATAGAATTTTATTCGATAAAACGTTGGAATCTTAATTTTAGGCGATAGTAGATCATACCTTGCGCTTTCGCTTAAGGCATGCAAAAGTTTAATGGCAACTTACCACTCATCAACTTGTATACCCATTACTTCTGCAAAACGATGTAATTCAGCTTGACAAGCTTCTAATACAGCAAAATCATATCCCTTTATTTGCAAGTTTAGGCAATCGTAAACAGGCTCATCAGGCTCCATACTCTGTAATTTTAATAAATAGGGATAGTAATCCAAACTTAACTTTTTGCTTCTCTTGTTTCAAACATTCACCATAAAAGTAATTAAATGGTAGGTGGAGTGTGATCCAAAGTTAATGGCAGCAGAGAAGCTAGATAGACGCAAGGTGCTGATAAATAGCACAATTTGCTGTACCTACACATATTATGTACACTTCTGAAAAATGGACTGAACTCCACTGGTCATTGTTATTGTATATTGTAAAGTTTTTTTCTGTGATTGATAGTTTTGTTGTTGACTTACTTTGTTTTTTTAATAGAATACATTAAAACTATTGGTATCTTGATACAATTACACTATAGGTATTTAGCATAGACACAGACAATAATACAAGGCAACTAGTCAAGATTCGAAATTGAGTTAGGACGTTTTTAAAAAGACTTTATTTTAAACTTATTACTATTAATGTGTGATACATTACTTATATACTACTTAATTAATCCGTGATGGATTCTAACTTAAAGCTACATGTCCGATACATGTGAGAGCCTATGACTATCCTAATTCTTATTCTAGATCTTTAAGCTAAAGAGTAGTTATCAGTATTCACACGAAAGACCACACACAATTCAGCAATCTACGCCCACGCTTACGCTTGAATTGTGATGGTCTCTGGTGCAGGTCCGGGGATACCGGGATGCATAATTAACCTTTATACAATACAAGTAAACATTGACCTGCTTTTTTATTAATTTACAAATTCATATTACACATTATAATTTTTTTATTATAAACATACAGCCAATAATGGATTTATTTTCTATATATTATCAGTAAGAGAGCAAACATTACTATTATAATATTAAGAATGGCTATGTGAAGCTGGACACATGTTGATTAAATCATGTAATACTTACTATAAGATAATCTGGTTCATGTAAATCATTTTTAAGCCGCTTTTGATGGTTTTGTACAAGTACTGTTACTCCAGACATATTATGTGGTTTTAGTAAATTATTTAATTTAAGCTGTAAATAAGAAAACATAAATACTTTAAATATAGTTATCAGTTTCCACAAAAACTTGAGACAGTTACCCAATTAAGTTGTCGCTTTGAGGTGTCAGTGTGCATGCACATCATAACAACTTCATGGTATCGTTTTTAGCTGTCAGTGTGTTCACGCATCGTAAAAAACTCACTCTCATAATTTTTCCCAAATGCCCCAAAAGAAGCATAATTTCAAAAAATTAACTATCACTTCAAAAGCGTATCGGAGCCTGGATATGGTTAAAAATAAATAAGAGCCACTAAACTATAGGTCTCTACTGATCAGTGGTAGAGCCACGCTGCAGCTTTTGCTGTCGCACGGATGGGCCGGCTTGAACCGAGGTAGTACCATGACCTCACAGAATACCAGCTTGAAGTAGAGGTTTACCTCTGTGTTTTGCTTGGTGAGTGCAAGTGGCCGGAGGCCCTTTTTATTGGAAATGAGGCATTCTATCCTAGTCCTCACAAGTGAAAACGCATCTGAATTTTGATTTTTAATAAAGGATAGAGGTAGATATCTATGGGCTGCAGCAACCACTTACCATCAGGTGGACTGTGCTCGTTTGTCACCCTTATCCTATAAAAAAAATGTAACCATGGATTTGAATCCTTGTGTCTCGGAAAGCATGTTAAAGTTAACCATTGGTCTTGTGCATGATCTCTCTCTGGTTATGTGGTATTGCATTCCTGTCAGAATATGGGAGTAAAAGAATACAAAGTCCACTGTAATTCTATCTTGCGCAGGTGACTACTGGCCGACATTCACTCTGCAGTACATATTAATTATTAAATATGTAATTAATTAATTCATTACAGCATATGAAATCATCGACGTTATATGAGGTAGTGGATTCTCTTATGCCACTACTACACGCAGAATTATAATTAAATGGGTACTATTTTATATTAAAATGATACTTACGACTGATAATATTCTAGTAGAAAGCATTGTAATAATTAATATTTTTCAATATGTATACGGTAATTAGGTTATCTGTACTATATAATTTTAACGACATACATTTATTTTAATAGCTTATAGCGTGATGTGTAGGATGAAGGCTAAGCTACAAGCTAGTTAAAGTATAAAATATAAATATAAATTAATAATATATCTATTTATCAAATGTTTATTTTTAACTTAACCTTACTCGACAGATTGACATTTGACAGTAGGCTTGGGCAAAAAATATCGATATATCGAAATATCAATATGTTGTATTAAAAATATTCGATATTAATTTTAGAGTATTTTTTTTTAATTTTTCGACAAGTTTTGGCTCCACGGACTTTCATGTAAGAAAAGCGCTGGTAGGTTTTCACGACACAGTTCTTTGAACGATGCCATCCGAAGGGCTCTTGTTTCTATAAATATTCCCTCAGTTTTAGAGCCTTGTGGAATATTTAGTGACGATGGCAGGAGACCTGACGGTATAACATAGGTCCGTTGGGAGAGAGGTAAAGCCCTAGTGTGGGATGCTACTTGCGTAGACATTCTGGCGGCCTCTCATCTCAGGGGTAACTCGTTTAGAGCCGAGGCGGCAGCAGAGGCAGCTGAACTGAGTAAGTTGCGAGAGTCTCTGCGAGATAACTACATATTTGTGCTATTTGCTGTAGAGACTATCGGTCCGTGGGGTCCACGTGTGGTGGAGTTCCTAAAGGAACTCCATCCGCGACTGGTCGTTGCTGCTGGTGATAAAAGGGCTGGTACTTTTCTCACTCAAAGACTAAGTATAGACATTCAGCGGGGAAACGCAGCCAGCGTTCTTGGCACAATACCGCGGGGAATAGGACAATATGATAATTAAGTTTCTAGTTTTAGTTTTTTTTTTAATTTGATATTAAATTATGATATTACGATAATATAATATAAAATTTTTAATTTTAGAGTATTGAATTCGTATCAATTTTGATATATTTTAAAATGTTGTACTAATGACAAAACATATAACAACAAAAGGTGGTACAAAAGTATTCATGTGTGGCTGGTTCTCGTTTTCTTTACATCATGCAAATGATGACGATATATCGATATTTATCAAGCGATATATATCGATACTGACGACATGATCTTTGTTTTGTCCATGTTCATCTTAAGACCTATCCGTTGGGAAACACTATTTAGGTCATTGAACATAGTGCTTAGGGCCTCTAGCGATTCTGATATAGTCCTTCTATATCGTCGGCAAATCGAAGGTGAGTGATGTACTCGCCATTGATGTTAATACCGTATTCTTTCCAGTTCAGAAGCTTGAAAACGTCTTCCAATGCAGCGGTGAAGAGTTTCGGGGATATAACATCACCTTATCTTACACCTCTCTGTAATTGGATAGGTGTCGTACTCTGGTTCTGTACTCGGATAGCCATCATAACCCTACTGTACAAGCACTTCAGCACTTCGATATACCGACAGTCAACTTGGCACCGCTGAAGGGACTGCAGCACCGCCCAAATTTCGACGGAATCAAAGGCTTTCTCATAGTCCACATACGCCAGACATAGTGGCGAATTGTACTCCTCGGACTTCTGTACAATTTGCCCAAGGGTATGTATATGGTCTTTGGTGCGAAAGCCTTTCCGGAAACCGGTTTGTTCGGGAGGCTGGAAGTCGTCAAGTCTGCGCGCGAGACGATTCGTAATGACTCTCGAAAATAGCACGTATACGCGGCTCAGAAGGGAAATCGGTTTGTAGTTCTTCAAGAGAGCGTTGTCACTTTAAAGAACAAGACCACCGCACTTCTGCTCCACGCCTCCGGTGTAATGCCACCATGGAGGATGGAATTAAAAAGCTTCTGAAGGACTTCAAGTACCGGTTTTCCGTCCTTGCCTGAGGCCTTGCCGTTTTTAAGGTGCTGGAGAGCCATTTTAATCTCGCTCAGACTGACGTCCGGGATTTCATCGGAAAAGTGTCGCATAAGACTCGCCCTTGAATCGTTACTCACACTTACGTGTGGCTCCAACGATGATGTGTACAGCTGCCCATAGAACCTCTCAATCTCATTCAAAATCTCAGGTGTCCCGGAAACGACGCTGCCACACTCTGTCTTCAGCTTCGACATTTGGCTCTGCAGCAGTCAGAGCACGAGGGAGACGGAGCGTTGATTTCATTCGTCGTGACCTCTCCAACTTAACGTTTAGGTTCAGTGTGCCTCTCACCATTCGGTGATCGCTGCCGGTTTTCACCCTCGCGATCACTGAGACATCACTGACAGTTGTCATCTGGTCTTCATAATAAAGTCAATCTCATTTTTTGTCGAACAGTCGAGGCTCAACCAGGTCCACTTCCGGTGGGGCCGCTTCTGGAAGAAAGAGTTCATCATAAAGAGTCCCTCTTTTTCCATGAAGTCGGCCAGCTGCTGGCCCCTTGGGTTCCTTTGCCCTATTCCGAATTTCCCTACTTTCAGCTCACCGTTCTCTCTTGTGCCTAGTTTTGCATTGAAGTCTCCCATTAACACCGTATAGTGGGTTTTGGAGGAATACATGGCTCTAGTTATATCCTCATACATTTCCCCCACCTCCTCATCGGGGTGTGCCGAGGTTGGTGCGTAAACCTGTATGACCTTCAGCGAATACCGTTTGGTGATTCTGAGTATAAGGTACGCAACCCTCGTCGACACAGTCCCAATCTTTACAATGTTGTTAACGAGAGACTTGTGGACGATAAATCCACCTGACACCTCCTTGGGACAGATAGTCGCCTTCCTGGTGATAGAATAAGCTGCCGGATTCGAGGATTACCGTGTCCTCCCCCTCTCTTCGGACCTCGGATAATCCTACGATATTCCAGCACAACTTATTTATCTCTTCTCCCAATTCCAGAATCTTCTCGTCAGTCCTCAGGGTGCGAGCGTTATAAGTTGCCAGGTCGAGTCGTCGTAGGTGGCAACCGAACCTCCACCGGAGATTCTTAGCACCCCTTGCCCCGCCGTTACCATGGTCGCGTCGTAGTCAGGAATAGAGGGGCTCCCGGGGACTGGGGGCCGTTTATTAATGTCATTGCTCATGGGGGGTATGTTGCCATAGTTGCCACGCTTGGCGAGCGGGTTGGCAACCGCAGTTTTTTATTGTTATTTTGCTGTTATCAGAAAGATGCTGCTGCCCATCCTCTGCCTCAGTTTTCTTTTGTCGCCTTTTACGACACCCATGGGAGGACATGGGGTAGTGGGTATTCTTACCCGCCACTACACGGGCGAGAAATCATTTGGATGGATAAAATAATAAGATTTTTAGTAGATATTTGTGAAAGTATTCCCAGACTACAACTTGAAAATGAGTCAGCTTTAAAGCTAGCCCATAATCCATTTGAAATGCACCATCGAACGAAACATTCGTATAGGACACTAACTTCTTTATAAGAGGATGTGTTGAGCAAAGAAATTTAAGCGTGCTGGAAACGTGCCAAAGACCAGTTTGCTGACATATTAACAAAACCTTTATAAAATCACGAGTTCTGGAATTAACTATAAAAATGGGCATGAAGTTTTAAAAGGAAGGCGGGTGTTATGAAAATTATAATATATATTGAGTGCATAATCATTGTTAAGAAAAATATATGATATATTATTCTTAACAGTGATTATTTACTCTTTGTCAACAATCTATCTGCACTTTATATTGCATTTTATATATTTTAACGATGGTGCAATTACATTCATACAGGTTGCAGTTTTTCATGTTGTATAAAGTACCAAGTGCCGGGAACAAAGTCAATGGTGCCCTGACTGCGTTAGTCAAAAGGCAAGGCGTAGTGAAGAGTGCACGCCTTGCAATACATAACGCAGTGTTGGTACCGACTTTGTTATATGGCAGCGAAACCTGGGTATGCCAGAAGAAGCATAAAAGCAAGTTGAATGCAGTGGAGATGCGATCTCTTCGTAAAATGTGCGGCGTTACCATGCCGACCGAAAGCGAAACGAAGAGATTCGCAATATGGCAGGTTTCAAATATGACCTTACCACAAAAATTGATAAGGGCGTGCTTCGATGGTTTGGGCACGTTGAGCGAATGAGTGAAGACCGAATGGTGAAGAAAATATATAGTGCGAAAGTAAATATTAAAAGGTGTCGAGGTAGACCGAGACTAACTTTCGAAGACCATGTGAGCAATTTGCTCGAAGAGGGTAGGGTCAAGAGTACTCGGATACCTAGACGTGCATGTATGAAGAAGATAATGAAACTGAAAGAAGCGAAAGAGGTATGTAAGGATCGTGACACTTGGCGATCTATTCTCTCTGGCTACCCCGTCAGGGATTGTGCGTAAAGATAAGTAAGTATAAAGTACCCAACTTACATTATTTGAAGTAATATCGACGTTATAAGGTGAGCGATTTTTAACTATTCTTTATTTCTAAAATACACGGGTGCGGATTAAATAATTAATATTTTTGAGATATGCTATTTGAATATGTGGTATTTCTAATCACAAATTTAAATTATTCCTTTAATGATTATTTACTGATTACTAAGTATTTATTTAATGTATGCCTAATATGTACCTGTTACGTTGTATTTATTACCCTCTATATATCTTTATATATAAAAATTACGTGTCACATTGTTTATCCGCGATGAACTCCTAAACTACAGAACAGATTTCAATGAAATTTCGCACACTGTGTGCAGTTTGGTCCAACTTGAGAAGTAGGATACTTTTTATCCCGACCTTCAAATGCTTTTATTGCGAATTAAAGGTTTTTTTAATAGGAAGGGTCGTCGGAAAGGGCAGAACAACGTCTGCCTGGCCAGCTAGTATAAATATATATCTCGGAAATTACAACAGTAACGTGAGGTACGTAATTACATGATAACACCAAAATATGTAAACCAACAGCAACACTACTTATATCAATGTAACACAGGGCAGCCTGTCAGCAACACCAATCCGCCTTACCTACACTAGAAGAATTCCAACAACGAACTGAACCGCAACACTATCTTAGCACTAGTAGAATGACCACACTCGTTGAATGACTTAAGGGGCTACTCCATGCGAACGACCTTGAGCATTTTGCCGGCGGCGCGCCGCTCGCTTCAATATATTGCCCTATTGTAGGTAAGAACGTAGTATTATTTTTTCAACATCAATAAACTAATTTATGGAAATACACACAGCGTACAACGATAAATGTATTTTAATTTTTTTATTCGGTATATTAGTCGCAT